TGCCCTCGGCCCGGTGGCTTGGGCTGGCCCTCGGCCCCGGTAATTCCCCACCAACGCAGCCTCTCTCTCTCCCACAGTTCCCCGGATTTGACGACCTCTACTGCAAGTTCTGCTTTGTCTACGGCCAAGACTGGGTTCCCACAGCGGTAAGGCCCCCCTGGAACCCAGCCTGCCCGCCAGGCCCACCGGCAGCATGCGTCTAACGGGGCTTAGTGCAGGCCCCTGGCTCACGCCACTTTTTCCCCACAGGGTCTGGAGGAGGGCATCTCCCAGATCACCTCCAAGAGCGACGTCGCGCCCACCACGCTCGTCTGGAACTTCCCCATCGACATTACCTTCAAGAGCACCAACCCGTCCGGCTGTGAGTGCGGGGGGGCGGTGGGACCCAGCTCGCAGACCAGGCACCCCTCTCACACATGCTTCAATTGCAGGGCCGCAGATTGTAGTGAGCGTCTACGGACCCGACTTTTTTGGAAATGATGTGGTCAGAGGTTATGGAGCTGTTCACGTTCCCTTCACACCCGGAAGGTGAGGTGACAACCCGTCTTTCAGGACTGAAACGGAGAGATTTTTTTTTCCAGTTACTATGTTGTTTCAGAAACAAAAATGTTCCCGTATCTCCTTATCGTGTCTCGTCCATTTGTACAAAGAGCGTGGATTTTCTAGCAGCAGCCCCTCGTTATCAAATAATTTTTGGTAATCCTGTAGACAACTGTAAAGTCAAAACTGGCATGTAGAAGGCCCAGGTGTGACGCGCAGTACGTTACCTCTCCCCCATCACTCTCAGCTCGTGCTAAGCTTTCATTCCCAGCACTGGACGTGAAAAAAAGGCAAACAAACCCTTTCCTTGTGGAAGGGAAAGTAGTACACTTTGAGATGTTCAGTGGTCTGACGTGCCTGAAATTCTGGTACCTTTATAAATACAAGAAGTCTTGCCAAGTTTGGTTCATTTCATAAGTTCTGTGTGTCCCCTGTTTGTTTTAGGCATACAAGAACCATCGCTATGTTTGTTCCAGAGTCCACGTCTAGGCTGCAGAAGTTTACAAGGTAACAATTAAAGACTTTTCTCTTTTTTAAGAGCAAGTCCTTCTTGCTCTTAGTCACAAAGGTAAATCCAGCTACTCACTGGTGCGTACACGTGAATGCTTTGTATCATAACCTGTTGTGAGGTTTGTAGGTAAAATCACGTTTTTAGGTGTCTAAGTCTTTTGAAGAGCTTTCTTCAAACGTGTTAACTGCCTGCTTGCAGTAATGCTAACTCGTCTTTTTGCCATCCTCACATTTGAGCACTCTTGGTTTGAAAAAGAACTCGTGAGCAGAGCAGGCTGATAACACGAGTTCTTGTACTGAGCGGCAGCTCCGCGTTCCACAGGTTGATTCATGTCAGTGATGCGACTTGCAGAGGCGCTACTTAGACTGATTTTACTGAGCATTTTAGTTGTCGCTGGACTCTGAGGAGGCGTGCTGCAGTCCACCCCTGAATCTTACTGTAGCTAGGGGCTTTTCTGGAAGGAGAGCCACATTAAGAGCAACCTGGAAAGCAAAGGCAGAGCATGGAAAAACAATTCCCAGTTCTACCTTTTCCTCCGTCTGGAATGCATTTGCTGTAACCTTTGTCTCGTTTACACACACACCTCCCTTCCGAAGCAGCAGTCTGTACACAGCAGCTGAGGGTAGTAAGGTTTTTTCCTTCCATTGTATTGTTTAAGTACAGTCTGAACCATCTGTGAGCCGATTGTTCGGTTGTGGATTGCCTGTACCGACGGAGCCCACCCTTGCGCAGAGCCAGCCTTGCGGTACTCGAGCGCTTTGGGTCAGAGTCAGCACGGGAATCTCTGTGCCCGACAGTCAAAATTCAACTGATTTACTTTTCTTCTTTTTATGGTACCCTTTTTGTAGAATCTACACTCTAATTTGTATACGTCTGTATACGTGCACCTCTGATGTATTCAGAGTACCTAAGCCTCTCTCTTACTCTGGGTAATCAAGAGTTGAATCAGTTTCAAAAACACCTTGCCATAGAGAGATTCTGTCTAGCCCAGAAATAACTTGGATTTGACATAACGTGTATGAAATCAGTTTCATTTTTTTCCTTAGAGAGACAAAACTTACCTTTGATCAAAGTAGATCAGCAACAAAGGGAATCAGTCTTCAAAACTCCCTACGCAAACAAAAGCTGGGAGTCTCATTAAACACCCCCCCTTTGTTTTTTTAACACGCGTATGATGAACTGTACCAAATCTAAACACTAGTGAATGTGTCCCATTAATTATTTTCTATTTTCTTCTCCAAGCTGGTTCACAGGGAGACGTCCAGAATTTACTGACCCCAGAGTGGTAGCACAGGGAGAAGGAAGAGAAGGTAAGTCCCTGGGAGCTCCGGACTGTAACCCTTGCATGAGAGCAGGCCACAGCTTGGCCATCCATCTTCTGTTGATAAAAAAGACCGGTTGTTCCTGCCGAGAACAGCCCTACCTGGACACGCGAGGAGTTCAGCAACTATTCAAAAACCTCCCTTAACCGGTTTTATTCACGTCTTCTTTCTTCTAGTAACGAGGGTGCGGTCTCAAGGCTTTGTGACCATCTCCTTCAACGTAGTGACCAAAGATATGAAGAAGTTGGGCTACGACGTGAGCCCGAGCGACATGCAGAACCCTTCTCTGGTGCCTGTTACGGAAGGGATTCATAAGTATTGAACTCGGGCGTGAGACGTTCAAAGGCTCACAGGCAAGTTAAGCGCTTTGGGGCTTTTTGTGGCAGAGGGAAGTGAGTATCTGACTAAACTGAGAAGATGTCACTTGAGACCGTTATTCATTCCAAAAGCAACACAAGCCCACGAGGCTTTGGAATAATTACCCGAGTATAATCCTTTCAGTAAGCATACAGGTTGAAGGATTCTGTAAATTAATGTCATCGGATAATATTTAGCATTTTTATGAGTAATACCAGACTATCTCAAAATATTTTTTATAACAGCCTTTTGCACACTCTTTATATACTTAAAGAATAGGAAAGTTTATAGTTGTAGCAGTTTTCCTGTGTTTAAAACATCATTGCAAACCCAGTTCTTTTTACTAACCTTGTTTTGTGGTAGAAATGGGAAATTGAAATTATTGCACCTTCCAAAAAAGGAGGGAATATGGAAACGTTCCCGTGAAACGCACACGCACTTCTCCGTGCCACGTGCTTCCCTCTGCAAAAGCAACAGCAGTTTTCTTTATAACCCCGCATAGCCCTTTAGAATTCGTGCAAGTGGTTAAAATAGCTCATGCACTGCGGAAACAAACCTTTCCGCATTTTTCAGTGAAGCGACACGGGCTTTTGCATTTAGAACAAGATGGCGACTCTTCCATTTCCAGATTTTCTTTCTGCATCATTTGCCTGGCGGAAAAGGACCTGGGGGTGTTGGTCGACAGCCGGCTGAACATGAGCCGGCAGTGTGCCCAGGCGGCCAAGAAGGCCAACGGCATCCTGGCCTGTATCAGCAATAGTGTGGCCAGCAGGAGCAGGGCAGTGATCGTGCCCCTGTACTCGGCACTGGTGAGGCCGCACCTCGAATACTGTGTTCAGTTTTGGGCCCCTCACTACAAGAAGGACGTCGAGGGGCTGGAGCGTGTCCAGAGAAGGGCAACGAGGCTGGTGAGGGGTCTGGAGAACAAGTCTGATGAGGAGCGGCTGATGGAGCTGGGGTTGTTTAGCCTGGAGAAAAGGCGGCTGAGGGGAGACCTCATCGCTCTCTACAACTACCTGAAAGGAGGCTGTAGCGAGGTGGGTGTCGGTCTCTTCTCCCAAGGAACAAGCGATAGGACGAGAGGAAACGGCCTAAAGTTGCGCCAGGGGAGGTTTAGATTGGATGTGAGGAAAAATGTCTTTACTGAAAGAGTGGTTAAACATTGGAACAGGCTGCCCAGGGAAGGGGTTGAGTCCCCATCCCTGGAGGTATTTAAAAGACGTGTAGATGAGGCGCTTAGGGACATGGTTTAGTGGGCATGGGGGTGTTGGGTCGACGGTTGGACTCGATGATCTTAGAGGTCTTTTCCAACCTTAATGATTCTATGATTCAGGAAGGAGGAAAAAAAAAAAAAGGACAGCAGTTTATTTTAGAGGAGTTAGAGAGACCATGGTGTTAAACATATCCTTGCTGCACGGTTTTAACTTCAGGTGGAACAAATTGCATTTTAAGTGCAGATATTGATTAAAAAATAAACTTTAGAGAAGGCTCTGCTAAGAAAGGAGTCTCAGTAAGCCAGCTACGTGTGCGGCCATAAGCAGCATTTAGCTCCAAATCAGGTCCCAGAAGCACTGTGCTGCACAGGAGAGCGGGGAGTCGCAGAAAGGACCTTCTCCTCCCTTCGCTGGGTCCCTCCAGCCAGTACATTGCACAGACAACGTACCATGGCTTTCCCCAGCTGGTTTTCTTACCGAAAAGAAAGGCAGTAAAAAAGCAACATAGTGACGTTCAAGTCTGCCACGCTCGGGTTTCCTTTCCCATCGCGTAACCCCAGGGAAGGACCGAAACGATGTCGGTTGTTATTGGCGGGTGACAGGAGCTCCAGAGCCGATGTGCTGCTCTCGGACGTCTGCAGCGTGAGGGCACAGAGCTGGCCTCGGTCGGAGGAGCTGCTCCTCCGATGTCTTACCGTGGCCCTTCAGCGAATCCCCCTCTAAGCTAATGTTACTGCTCTTCTTCTAGGCTGAATAAACCCAGTTGTCTAAATATATTTGTTTGTCTCTCTACTGCTAGGGTTTTTATTTGTTTGTGCCAGAATGGATGTTTCCAAGTCCTAAATCATCCGAGATCGACTATTCTTACAGGTGCGAAAGAGAAAGAAGTGTACGCCACAATGAACTGACTAATTGCTTAGTCATTTTCCTATTTAAATTTGGGTATGTAATCTCTTGTGTTTGACTGCAAATACCAAGAGATGACTGTGAGAACGACTTAACGTGATACCACCCTGTAAGTGAACTGCCAAGACCTTGAAACCGTGGAAATACAAGTAATAACAGAGCGCGTTGAGCTGCAGAGCCTCCAGGACGCGTCTCAAATGAAGCCTCCGGTTAGAGAGAGGAGTTATTTCATGCTGAGCAGTGTGATTGAATAAATATAATTTCTGCAAAGGTAATGTGATCACTGTAATTTTGCTGTGAGCATTAGCATCTTTTGTACTATTTATAAATACTTTTCCAAACATGGTTACAGATCATTTTTCATCTTCTACTTTTTTTCCTACCTTGTTTTTGTTGATTTTCCACTTCCAGTAAGCTCCCCCACCACTTGTTTTGGCAACTTGTAATCGCCAAACTGAGTCACGTTGGAATCCAAATCAATAAGTGTTTCCTGTTGGCTCAGAGGAGATGCAAGGAATTTTTGTTTCCTTTTGAAAAGTATTTGGGAAGCAGCTAGCTACAGCAGCAGGATAAATATCTGCGTTTGAAATACTACCGCTCAAATACCTTTTTTCCCTTGAGCACAGTTACCTGCCCCCATTCCAATTAGAGCAAAGCTGCGCGGCAGAGCTTCTCGTCATGAGAAGCCCGTTAAACCCAGATAAAGCCCCCGCTTCGCGCCCCCAGGGGCGCAGCCCATTTAGTCACGCGCAGCTTTGCAGCGCGGTACCACGGCCGATCTCCCCAGTTGCTCCCGTTTCGAACGGGTAGCTGGCTGCTCAA